GACTGCAGCTCTCTAGGACCGAACTTGCCTACCCCTGGTCTAGATTGATCAAATAGTTTCTAGCCAGTCCTTCTTGGACAGTGGACCAGCCAATGTCCAAGAAGGACTGACTAGAAACCATCAGAAACTGGTTTAACTCAATTTCCCATTACCTTTTGCATGCAAAAAGATGTCTTTCTTGTCCTGTCAGGCAAGCGGGATGTAGAGTCGGCTGACCTGCAGAACCTGAACGTTCTAGAGCGCTTTATCAAAGAGTCTTTGAGGTTCCATCCAGTGGTGGACTTCATCATGAGACGGGCACTGGAGGACGACTACATCGATGGCTACCGAGTGGCGAAGGGGACGAACCTCATCCTGAACATCGGTCGCATGCACAAGTCTGAGTTCTTCCAAAAACCCAACGAATTCAACTTGGAGAACTTTGAGAACACTGTAAGTACTGGGACAATCAGACACGTAAGATCAAATAAAACCATACAAACCTGGATTTAAAGAGTTTATGTACTCATAAATTGGTACATTTGTAGATTTTTTACCAGTTGTTCATATTCTTTTACAAATTTCCAAATATTTTATACATCTTCCCAATAACTGAATAATCACTATTGACCTGTTAAACTAGAAAATTAGCATTTTCTGGATAAAAAGAGGAAATGCAAGCGAATTCTCACTTTCAAGAAAGTACTGTGGTATTACAGTGTTTCTGGACATGGTACTGGGACTTCTAATACCGTATTATTTTTTAAAAACCCAATTAATTCAAACTTTGAGATCACTGTATGTACTGGGACAATCAGACATATAAGATCAAAAAGGCCATACAAACCTGTATGACTCATAAATAGGTATTTCTGTAGATTTTATATCAATTATTCAGTCTTTTACAAATTTACAAATATATTATACATCTACCCAATAACTGAATAATCAATATTGACCTGTTACACTAGAGAATTAGCATTTCTAAATGGAAATAGGAAACAATACTGTGGTATTACTATGTTTTTGGACACGGTCTGGTAATACCATGTTTTTGTGTATATACCATTTCAATATCACGTTTTTTTGAACATACCATAGTGATAATATGGTATACCTTACACCTTGTGATGTCATGAGACTTCATATGAATATGGTATCATATAGTATCATTATGATGTGTACAATGTAAACACCACAACATTCTTTGAAATAACCACTATGGTAGTGCATTACCATCCACTATCACCATTTTACCACTGTAATAGCGTAATGGTGCCCGCTTCCTTCTCAGGTTCCCAGTCGTTACTTCCAGCCGTTTGGCTGCGGCCCGCGGGCCTGCGTCGGGAAGCACATCGCCATGGTGATGACGAAGGCCATCCTGGTGACCCTGTTGTCGAGGTTCACGGTTTGTCCTCGTCACGGTTGCACCGTCAGCACCATCAAGCAGACCAACAACCTCTCCATGCAGCCCATAGAAGAGGATCCCGACTGCCTGGCCATGCGCTTCATTCCACGAGCTCAGAATATCTGCGGAGACCCACACCTGAGCACCTAAGAAAAAACACAGGAATAGAAACCTTTAAAGGTGCGCTGAGTAATTTCCTTTCACCTAAACATTTTCAGTGGGCTCTGTCTTTTTTTTTTTTTTTTTGATTTACTATACACAAACAGTTGAACTTACCTCAAACTCGACGCATACCAGTCAGCCTGCGATATAGACATCCTTGACCAAAACATAGACATATCATGACTTGTTGAAATTTTAAAGGGATCGTTCATCCAAAAATGTTCAATTCTGTCATTAATTACTCACCCTCATGTCGTTCCAAACCC